TGTGTGTGTGTGTGTGTGTGTGTGTGTGTGTGTGTGTGTGTGTGTGTGTGTGTGTGTGGTACAAGATAAGTCAAGATTACATTATTTAATCAGTCACTGAAATATGTCCTACTTTTTTACGGTTAATTTAAGTGTCAATTTAATTAACACTCAAGATGAAAAAAAGATTCCTTTTAGTGGATTATTGAAAACATTGGTGCATATTTTTAAGATAGGATAGGTGAGACTAACACAGTGCACTGCAAATTCATTGCTTCAATATTTGTTTGAATAAATCCGTCAAGTTTTTAATGACAGCCAAATGTTTATATTTCAAAAAACGAATTGAAGTACAAATATAATTATGTAAATGTTAATATTATAACTTTATTATTATAAAAACTTCATTGAGTGTAATTTAGGTGTTTGTATACAATATTATAATGTAGTACCAGCTGACTCATGTATATTTTACAGCATTAGTTTAGAGAATTTTTTTTTCCTTGAGAAAATTTGCCATGTACTGTACCTGATATATTTCCAAAATAATCGATATTGAATCAAATCGGAATCAAATAGAATTGCAAGCTAGTGAGTCAAAATCTAATCATATCGTGAAATTTGACTTGTGTAAAAAAGAAACAGCAAGTAGCACATTAAAAAAACATGAAATTTTGAAGTAGAAAGACTGAAATAATATTTTCTTGTAAAATGTACTCCAATAATCCAATAACAGCATAACTTCCAAGTGTGTATTATCTTGCAGATAATGAAAGCAGACACTCCACAAAGGACAAGAAAAAGAAGAAAAAGAAAAGCAAAGAGGTAAGATATTAAAAACCTGACCATATTACTGATTGATTGTGACTGATATATCAGCCAAGGCAAATAACTGACTATTTTTGAGTTTTGCAGCAGCGGACATGTGTATCACTTCCCAAATCTACCAGCAAGCTTGTCAAATAACAGCGTCCAGCTTATTTTTTTATATTTTTGGCACATTTTGTCAAATCTTGTTTACTTGTATAGTGCTTTATACAATACAACTTGTTTCAAAGCAATTTAAAATAATAATTGAACCGAACTAATGTCAAATACAGCTAAATCTATACAATTAAAAAAGTATTCATTTAATGGCGCCAATTTTGTTTACATCTTATTTGTTATCATTAAATGGTATTATATATAACAGCATTACACTTGGACACCAGTCAGCCTTCTCAATATTGGCATCAGCGATCAAAAAGCATATACTGGTTGATAATTTACTCTTATTAAAACGTTTTCGTGCCATCAGATTTCGTTGCTTGTGCACAAACTGTCTTTATATGTAGTGAAATAAAAAGGGAAAAATCTTGTTTTTGTTCTAGGAGGACGAGAAAAGCAGCAAGAAACGACACAAACACAAGAAAAAGGAAAAAGATGAGGCGGGAACAGGAGACGAGAAAGAAAAGAAGAAGAAGAAATCTTCAAGGACCAAGAAAGCAGGAACTGTGGACGATCTTGAGGCCTTCCTGGCAGGTGGAGACGGACCAGGAAAGAGTGAGGGCGGAGACTATGAAGAACTCTAACCAATCAGGGTTTGACATCCACACCATGTGACATCGCCAGGTCATTTTCCAATCCATTCCACCTGTTTTTCAGTGCCTAACCTTTTGAGTTTTCACAGCGTTTTTGTTCTTCCAGCATTGCAGCTTTTTAAATTGGTACGTGGCACCGTTGTTCACTTCATGCTGTTTTCCAGTATTTTCAGACATAACTTTTAGATGCATTTTCAAATGATCGAGAGTTTATTCCGTTATTAACTGATTAGAACTCTAAGTCGTTCCACAAAGACTTGAAGTAATTTTAGCTTTGTTGGTTTTGTTTTGTGTGTGTCTTTGTCAATGTGTGTGTGTGTATATATATATATATATATATATATATATATATGTATGTGTGTGTCCCTGAACATTTTGGCAACTCTGTGTGTGCTTGCATTTTTATTTAGCAAGCATACAGAGGGATTAATCAGACTTGCATTCAAATCTACATAACATATTTGCCCGCAATGCATGAGCAGAGCTAATTTCTGTCAAAACATTCAAAGAACTATTCACATTTAATTGAATATTTCCGCTCGCGTTTGTAAACCGTTCTTGTATAAATTGTCTATTGCAATTCTGTCCAACAATTAATACAAGAACGGATTTCATGAACTTTATGGAACATGATCTTTACTTAATATCCTAATGATTTTTGACATAAAAGAAAAATCAATAATTTGGACCCATACAATGTGTGTGTGTGTATATATATATATATATATATATATATATATATGTATGTGTGTGTCCCTGAACATTTTGGCAACTCTGTGTGTGCTTGCATTTTTATTTAGCAAGCATACAGAGGGATTAATCAGACTTGCATTCAAATCTACATAACATATTTGCCCGCAATGCATGAGCAGAGCTAATTTCTGTCAAAACATTCAAAGAACTATTCACATTTAATTGAATATTTCCGCTCGCGTTTGTAAACCGTTCTTGTATAAATTGTCTATTGCAATTCTGTCCAACAATTAATACAAGAACGGATTTCATGAACAGTTTGCACAGAAGTTCGTTCCTCATGTGCTTCATGAATGAGACCTGACATGTTGTGACGTTCATTGTCTTCCAGCCAGTATTATTATTTATGATCTTAAAATGTGTTAAATGTTATAATTTCATAATGATAGTTTCTGGTTCCGGTCAAAATTCTTCCTCTCATGGTCTGTTTGTGATGTCCTGTCTGGTAAATGTATTAATTTCCTTTGCTGTATATTTTTATTGTTGTTATGGCTTTTATGTTGTTATAGATCTCGTGTTTTAGATAGTTGGATCCGTACACTCCAGATAATTTCAGAGTTGGACAACCCAGGAACATTGTCTCTGATCCTGTGATGTTGAGGCACCTTGAACGTCCTTTATGAATGGCCAACATATTCAGAGCCTAACCGTACATAAAAATTAGTAAATATCATACATTTTAGCAAAAGCCTAAATTACTAAATGCAACTAAACAGAGCTGCTCTAAAAATATTTTCCCTCATAGTTACGCTTGTTTTGGTGACCTGAGGAAAGAAAGTTGAGTTTTAGTAAAAGATCTCCAAAAAAAAAAAAAAAGGGCCATTTATGTAAATGTATAAAATCTTGAGCATAAGATAGTGAAAGTAAAATCATATTTTGAATGCACACATTTATACTTTGTAATATCAACATAAAATTGAATAATATTTTGGCTTTCAATGATCCATTAATATTTTGATGAATGAAAGTTATATAGACAAATTATTGTTTACTCGTCATTCATAACGGACGTCATTCATGAATCTGGATCAGAATTGTTTTCTTTAATGGTTGCATCAAATTGAAAGTGAAATGACCGTTTACTGTATGCAAACGATTCAGGCTACATTTACACGACAACGATGTAGTCAAAAACGGAAAAGTTTTTCCCTTGCGTTTTTAAAAATTTTCACGTATACACGACAATGTTTTTAAAACGATTTGCGTTTACACATATCAGCGAAAACGGCCAAAAACGCTGTATTACGTATGCCAGGCCAGTAGTTGGCGCTGTCACCTTGTTAGTAAACAGTACCTGTAGGGAAGTGACGATTATATGTTGTATATGATACATCTCCGCTGTTGGTTGTAATATTGGTGAAGTAAATCCACACTTTGCTGAAGAAGCGTTAGCAAACTCTTGAGCAGCAACAACAGTACCATGTACTCCGCCATTGTTGTGTATGTTTGTTCGCGCTTGCCTTTAAAATCGACACGTACTGCGCATGTCTACATACCTAACACGTACTACACACGCGCATGACGTCACCGTTTTCAAAGATTCCCGTTTGGGTGTTTACACGGAAACGATAACGTGGCGTTTTCAAAAATATGCATTTTCAGTCCCCAAAACGCCGTTGTCGTGTAAACGAACAGGTAAAACGCATAAAAAGTTTCCCGTTTTTGGCTGAAAACATTGTCGTGTAAACGGCCCCTCATTCTCATCGTGTTTCATGAATGAATCCTAGTGTTTACTTCATAATGCCCCCATATGCTTTTGTTTTCATCAAGTAATGATAAATGATTACCAAATAATTCAGAGTTCTTACTTCAACTGTTGCATCGAATTGAATGTGTAATGACTATTTACGTACAGTTTTACCAGCGATTCATTTTATTTGTATTTCATGAATGAATCCTAGTGTTTACTTGCAATGCCCCCTTTATGCTTTTTCATTAGCATTTATCACATATTGATAAATGATTAGTAAATAATTTCAGGTGTTCGTATTTCATCGAATTTAATGTGAAGTGAGCATTTACGCAAGAACGGATTTACCAGTAATTCACTTGACTTGTGCGTCATGAATGAATCCCATTGTTTACTTGCAATGCCCCCACCCCCCCTTTTTTGTTTTTTTGCTTATGTTATCATCATAGATTGATAAATAACCAAATAATTTCAGTCTGGAATATGTTATTCTAATGAACTATCATGTCATGGAATCTGATTGGCTCCAGCTTAAGTGGAAGAATGACATCATCAGTAGTGTTGTGCACTTCAGATCCTCATCATTTCAAATGGATTTTCTATTTTTACATTTTTATTACTGGGACAAAATGACAATGTACTTTCTGCCTAACATAAGAAGGACTTGTTTTTGGTTTGATGGTACAATAAACATTCACCTTGGCATCCACCTTTGAACTTTTGGTTGTTTCGGTCCAACTGAATGTTGATTCCTGCTCGTAAAGATGTTTTCTCAGAATCCTCCAAGGAATTCAAGCACATCGCTGGGGCGAATAGCGGGTAACTAACGGTAAAACGTTTAAAGAAGTGCAGATTCCCGTGTGTCTCTTGCGGCAGTCATCTGCGTCTCTTAGGTGGGTGCAGATGGATCCACACACGCCGCTGAGAGCATGTGATGCATCACGCTGTCACCATGGAAGCACACGCCTGGGAAAACCGTCTCTACATGCTCACTGTGATAAATAGTCACGCTCTCCACTGTTAATACTCTCACCCCAAACCAGCAGAAGTGCGCACCTCGAACACATATCAACTTCCTCTTTACTCTGGGCCATTGATTTATTTATTTATCTGCCCGTTTGGCATGCATATTTTTTCCCACCATACGAGAAAAGGAGATGGGAAATGAATGCATTGGTGCTGCACTAGCTCTTGCTGGCTGTTGGATTGCATGCAATTACCAACATACTTCCTGCACAGCGTTTCACAATGACTGCTTTCATGGACCGGATATGTTTAGGAACGCTATTTTTAAGCCGTATATCGGTTTTATTTTATTCATACAGCATATATGCGTTCCAAAGCCTTTGTTTGGGACCATAAATGATTGTGTTTGCCTATTTATTGTTTTTGTTACCCTGTTTCACTACCCTTAGTATTCATATTTGATTTATGTGTTTCAGTTGTGTAATAAATGCAAGAGAAATTTGACCAGGTTTGTAGGAGTTGAGCTGTTCAAGTTCAATGTGATTTATCTCTCTTAATGATGAAAAATAAATAATATATATTTTAATATATAATACATATTTTATTAAATATAATATATAGTGCCATTCAGAAGTTTGGGATCAGTAAGATTTGTAATGTTTTTTTAAAGAAGTTTCTTTTTTTATTAAAGAAATTATTGCAATTTAAAATAACAGTTTTCTATTTTAATATACTTCAAAATATAATGTTTTAAAGCAAAGCTGAATTTTCAGCATCATTACCATTTACAGTTTTTTGTGTCACATGATCCTTCAGAAATCATTCTAATATGCTGATTTATAATCAATGTTGGAAACAGTTGTGCTGCTTAATATTTTTTTGGGACCGGTGATATTTTTTCAGGATTCTTTGATAAATAAAAAGTAAAAAAAAAAAAAACAGTGTTTATTCAAAATAGAAATTTTGTGTTACAATATACGCTACTATCCAAAAGTTTGGGGTCAGTATATTTTTTATTTTTAAAGGAATTAATACTTTTATTCAGCAAGGATGTGTTAAATGGATAAAAGGTAATAGTAAAGACCTATATTGTTAAAAAAAAGATTTCTGTTTTAAATAAATGCTGTTCTTTTTAACTTGTTATTCATCAAAGAATCATAGAAAAAAAGTATCACAGGTTCCAAAAAAATATTAAGCAGCACAACAGTTTCAAAACTGATAATAAATCAGCATATTAGAATGATTTCTGAAGGATTATGTGACACTGAAGGCTGGAGTAATGATGCTGAAAATTCAGTGCTACATCACAGAAATAAATTATATTTTAAAGTATATTAAAATAAGAAACAAATATTAGAAATTGCAATAATATTTAACAATTTAACATTTTTTTCTGTATTTTTGATCAAATAAATACAGCATTGAAGAGCATTAGAGACTCCATTTAAAAACTTTAAAAATCTTACTGGTCCCAAACATTTGAACAGCAGTGTCTATGTATGTAGATGGATAATATTTTTACTTTAAATATTACCTTTAAAGTTTGTGTATTATTAACACCAGAACTTTGGTTTCAGTGCTTTCAATGTTTTTTTTGTTTTTTCCACAGTTCTTCTATTTTAAAGAAATCTCTAGGTCTTTTTCTAGATTATTTTAGCAAACACTTCATTCCTATTCTAGATTAGATTTACAGCCCAATCCACAACGTAGACTTGCATGTTTTTGGTTGTGACGTTTTCTTGCCACTAGAGGAAGCAGTTTTGACTTTCACCATACAGTTAGCAGAAGGTTCAAGTAACCCGGTTAAGTTTCTTGAGCCATAGGTTGTGTTTGGAGCAGTAGTTGTGTTCAGTTATTTGTTTGTTTGTTTGTTTGCTTACAGTATTTACTTGTTTATCAGCAATGAACTA